TCCCCCCCCCCCCCCAGCCAGTCCCGGGCCACCTTCTCGCTCCTGTTTCTCCTTCAGGCCGGCGGTTCTGCCTCTCTCCTCCCCCTCACACAGTGCCAGCAGACCCTCCTGGGCTGCGTTCGTGCCGGGCCCTTCCCACGCCGCAAAGCGCCGCGGCTCCAGCGGTGCTGCCTTCGGCCTCCCCCGGGCACAGAGCTGCTTCCCTTCGCCAGCCGGGAACTCGGGGCGTTGGGCTCGCGTGGGCAGCTAACCACTGCGCGGGCCAGGACATAAACCTCCGGATGACCACGCGGAAGAGACAAGGCGACGAATTCCTGGAGCTCCTTGTCCTCAGCTTCACGTGAGATCTGCTCTTTGTACAACATCCTGCGAAGCACCAGGTCCCACTAGTTTAATGCTGTAGCAAGGCTGAACTGGGGTAACTACTTCGGCTGTCAGGGGGCTATTCCTAAAGCACACGTCCCCAAAGGCTAACAAAATAGCCCAAAAATACGGGGCTCGCTTCATTTGTACATGCTGCTGAAGATTACAAACTCACAACTTAACAGTTCTGTTTCACGAGCCACTTTTTTTATTTTTTTCAGTGTAGTTTGCCAGCTGAAATCTGCAGTTCTCCTCCAATGCACATTTCACCTCTCTGGAGGAAGGTGGAGGCCTAAAGAGTGACAGGACTGGGATTGCCTTCAAGTGCGTAGAAGAGCACGTGCTGAACGAAATGCAGTGAGTGCATGCTTTGCTAACAGAGGTCCATCAAACACTAGCTCACTTTTTGAAAACATTAATTTAAAATATTATTCACTGATCTGCCCATTCGCATGACTACACCTAATATATTCAAAAGCCAGGTTCCACTCAGCACCGCTATCAGCGTTTATGAGGAAAAATAAGAATGACTAACCTATCTTGATTTTGTTTTTTAAAATGTAATTTTGAGATCCCTATGCCACTTCTGCTGAGCCGATACCCATTTCCATGGAAACGGCAGCATACAAAACGTTGACATATTTCAGAGCGAGCGAGCTACTTAAACATCTGCTTCCCTGAAACCACCAGCTAGACTTCAAAATAAAACCGGCTCTCACATTTGGTGGAACTGCTTTACACAAAAAAACCAAACAAAGCCTCTAGATGATGGCCCAGCCCTGGGCTTTTTAAACCATATATGCAGGCAGGTCGAGCAGCACGCAGCTCACTGAAGTCTTGTTTTATAACGAACTTTTAATGGCCACAGCAATGCATGTAAGGAGTGGTCTCCTGCAAAAAGCAGCTCATGGGACCAACCGCCTTCTCCTCCCTTCTCATCCCCAAGAGCTTCGCTTCACCTTACAAGTCTGCGTTGGCAAGAGCTCAGCCTTGCCAGAGAATTTGTGAGTGCGGTAAAGAGAGCACCTACCTCTCACCAAGGCCTAACTCCTAGCCACGCTGGCATGAAAAAGCCCATATTTAAAATGGAATTCAGACTAGATTTACTTATCAGTGATTGCTTTAGCCAGCCAGGCACGTTGCCCTTCTATGCAGCCTGTTAGCTGAATTTTAATATAGTTCTTTACATTGAGGGGGGAAAAAAAAAAATCAGCTGATAAAAGGGGTAGAGCATATTTTGACTGTACCAGAAAACTAAAATTATTTCAATTATGCCATTTTTTCAAGAATGATTTCCAATTAGTTCATTCTCTTCCCTGCACTTACTTTTTACATCCATAACGAATAACAGCTCCACGCTCGCATAACCCTGCAAACACACACCAAACTGGGTTACATGTATTTATTGGAAAATGGGCTTCCCACTGACTTGAGATTAAAGGGAAAGAAAAAGCACTATTCAAAAGCAACATGAAAAATCTATTTACTTTCTTGTTTTTCCCCAATGTACCTCTGAGCAACCTGTAGGAACTTGGGAGCCACTGGCAGCCAACGGCCTCGTTCTCTCTTAGAGACATCATATAT